GCAAACATCGAGCATGGCATTCTAGGTTGAATTCCACCAGTGGGATACGACTGTACAACCATGTGATACGAAATGGCTACCTCATACATAGTACTGAGGAGCCGACGCACCACCCATTTAATCACCTTCAGGCACCTGATGTTCTTGATTTTGCATTATCCAAAAACTGTAGATACAGTATCACTTCTCGAATCATGTATGACATCTCAAGCGAACATCTTCCCGTCGTTTTGGAAGTGGGTAATGAGCAGATCTTGGGGGATGAAACCGCTCCAAGCAAAAGCATTGATTGGGTGTTACACAAGTCGCTCCTTAGTCGCTCCCAATATTCCGATCATAAATGATGAGAACGGTATAGATGCGGCTCAAGCAGAGTGGACAAGTTTTGTTCAGCAAGCTCTGTAGCGTGCAGCTGTACTTCCCGTGCAGCGACACGGCAGAACTTGTCTGCCAGCAGACATTCGTCAGAAAATTTCTGATAAAAGAGCTGCAATTAAGCAAGCGAAAAGGTCTTGTCATCCTAATGACATTCGCAGAGCGACGAATCTTGTTCATGAAGTAAGAAATGCTCTTCATGAATTCCGCAATGAGAAATGGAACGACTTTCTGTCGGGGATGCTTGACCCAAGCATTCCTCTCTGGAAGGTGGCGAAGTCGCTCAAAAACGGAAAGCGTGAACAAATCCCACACATTCACGGCCTGGAGGCATTGTCTTCAGGACAGAGGAGAAGGTTGAGGTTTTCGCCGATGCCATGGAAAAACAGTTCTCTCCCAACTATGACCTTGATAATGACCTCGACGAGGAGCATCACATCGTAAGATCTGTCAGGAGATATTTTAGGGCCAACGGCGTCAGTGACAGTCGCGCTATCGTTGGTGATTTTTCTTCATCAGAAGATTCTTCTTCAGAAGCTTCTTCAACCGAAGATATGCTTAGCACATCAGCTGCATCTCCTGAGATCCCGCATTGCACACCAGCAGAGATTCAAGGTCGTATTAAAGACCTTAAAGTGCGTAAAGCACCTGGGGAGGATCAAATCACTAATAAGGCGCTGAAGCTGCTTTCGCGGAAGTCCTTAACTTATCTCGTGGCAATAGTCAATGCCATGCTAAGGATCCAGTACTTCCCATCCGCTTGGAAGACCGCTGAAGTTATAATGATTCCAAAGAAGGTGGGTTCGATATTTCCCCAGGATTATCGTCCCATTAGCCTGCTGTCAGCTCCGTCTAAGCTCGCTGAAAAGGTGATTCCTTGAGAATTTCTCGTCAGATCACCATGTGATTCCTCACGTGCAATCCGGTTTTCGGTCTGAACATAGTACGGAGCTACAAGCAGTTAGGCTGGTGGAACGTGTAATCAGAGGATTCATCCTTAACGAAAGTACTGGCATCTTGCTTTTGGATGTCTCAAAAGCATTTGACAAGGTGTGGCATGCGGCCTCTTGTATAAACTAATCCAAAAGGGCTTCCCTTTTTGGCTTCTAAAACTACTGAAATCCTTCCTTGAAGGTAGGAAATTTCGGATCAAAATTGACAATGTCCTGTCGACAACACGGCTGATTACAGCCGGCGTCCTTCAGGGTTCGGTCCTTGGACCTATGCTTTACTCACTGTACATCCATGACGTCCCTAGTCCCAGCAACTTTGAAGTCTCTCTCTATGCTGACGGCTGGTGGCTCAGGTCGTGGTCTGGTGACCTAGTCCATGACAGGCTGCAAAGCGCGGTGGAGGAAGTATTAGATTGGGCGGATCGGTGGCTAATTAAAATAAACCATTCGAAAACGCAGGCAATCTACTGTACAAAAAGACGTCGCGGCGTACCGTCTGAAGTTTCAATGAATGGACTTCGTATACCATGGGAATCCTCCGCTAAGTATCTCGGTGTCATTCTGGACAAAGGGATGACTTAGCGGAACCATATAGAAGTGCTAAAAACTAAATTCCAAATTACGTTTCGACAGCTTTACCCATTATTATGTAAACGTTCAAAATTAAGTATGATTAACAAAATTCGACTCTATAAGGTGGTCATAAGACCAGCAATGACTTACGCATGTGAGGCTTGGTGTTTTATTGCTAAAACAAACATGCGAAATCTGCAGGTTCTGCAAAGCAGGACGTTGCGGACTATTGCTGATGCCCCATGGTATGTCTCTAACGAAGCTCTACATAGAGACCTCGATGTCCCTTACCTAAAGGACTACATTAAGCAACAGACGCAGCGGCGCTATAGCCTAGCGGAATCGCACAGCAACCCTCTGTTGCGTGAGTCAGTGGACTACACAGTCGAACAAGTTCGCAAGCACAAAAGGCTGCGGCCCGCACTGTAATCAAAATTAACTCGTGAACTTAGAACAACCAAAATTGGAGCGTTTTGACAAAATCTTTAGAAAAAATCGAATATTTTTAGACCATATCAAAATCTGTGAAGTGATTTTAACAATGCCTAAACGCTGCCTATCCTAAAAGATTCCCTTCTTCCCTTTTGTTCTCGTTCTTCCTTCTCTCCTTTCCTTCCCATTTTTTCCTTAAAATTGTCTGGTTTCAGGGTTACCAGACCTGACAGACTCACAAACTGACACTGTGACTCAAGAGCTAAGGTCCCACGGACCGCTCTGACAACCAACGATGACTTGAGAGGATTTCTTAAAACTTTTTTTATACTCGAACCACCACGAAGCCTTAAGGCCTAAACATCCATGGGGTACCGTGGGGCTTTAGGAGGATACAGGGTAGGGGGGGACGTCACACCGATTCTAGCGAGGGATCACGTGTGCATGGCACATGCAAAAATTCTGGTCCCGCGTACGAGATCCGCCGAGTGGTACCTTCGCGTTCAAAATTCAGAGACCGTCTACCACCTTCGAACAATCACAACATCCATAGCCAAGAGAAAAATCCTCTAGGGACGGGATTCGAACCCACGCAGCTCACGGCGACTGACCATAACGTCTACCATTATGCAATTGCTGCTGCCTAGCAGATCTATTGAGTACAATGGGCATTACGAGGAAATTTGAGGGAATATGTCACGTTGAATTACTGGCAGTGCAATAACTTGTACCAACGTCTGGGAGGCAGTGGCATTTCCGATGAAATTAACCCTAATCCAAGGATGCCCAGCTGATATTCAGAATATAACCTGTTTCAAAGAAATGACTCTATTGTGGGAGATACAAAAGACCACTATACACAGGCCAAGAGGACCATCTTGGGCCGTAACAGACGTAGAAGGCCGTGAAGGTGTTTGGAAATACAGAAGTGCCGGATAATCTAAGTGTCAACCATTTGGTTAGAATGATGACAGGAGCTTTGATTTTGAGTCTAGGCTGGCTCAGGATCAGCAGATGCTTAGTTAATAATACTGACTGTACAGAGAGAAAGAGAAACGATATTGGGCTCTAACAAATGTCGAACCCACTATCCCCTGTAAGGGTTCTTAAGCAAATGCGCCAAATATCTCAGTCTAAGGGCAGCCGTGATATTTGGTACAATATACTTATGTCTTTAGAGGAATGGTGAAAGATCTTCATCCTTACAAAATGTAGAGAAACGAACCCTATAGGTTGCCCAGATATCCGGCTTCGCCTCGCCAACCCCCCTTCTATTCACACCAGGGTGGGCATACCATGCGTGAATGAGATAAATGTCAAAATAAAAAATTGTTATTTTTGAAGTGGTAGTAGCTTTTTCATTTCTGCATATGATTCGATACGATGAGTAAGACCAAACCTGCTAAGTTATCTTAGTTTGTAAATTCATGCTTTCACTATGTTCCATTCGTGGCGAATTTTAGATCTATGGTACATGGTAGTACCTCCTCCTCGGCGCCACTGTAGATCGTGCCCAAAACGACGCGCATAGCTCACATTTTACCTGTTCAGCCGCAGGCGGTACCACGGCCGTCTCGGCGCGCGCCGATCTCTCTCGCTCGCTGCAGTACCACGAGAGTATCCAAGTACCACTTTACAGTACCATCGCGGCCGTCGGCCGACCTCGAGCGAGCGCGAACCGCGTATGCCATCAGCGAGCACCGAGCGATGTCCATACCCCTATCCCCAACCCCCGAGGGCCTTCCCAAGCAATTCGTCGTCGCGATGCGTACCCTGTTTGACATAATGGACGATAAGCGTACCGGGTACGTCAACATCGCCGACATCGAGAACAGATGGCAGGAGGATAACACCAAAGGTCTCCCCAAGGGGGTGATCGAGAGTCTCAGGAAGGTGACACCACCCAACGGCATGCTCTCATTCGATAGGTTCTGCGCTGGTTTGAAGATCTGCTTGCTGAGGAATCAAGTGGAAAAGCGGGACGTGAAATCGCCTGAGGTCAAGACGAGCAGACCTCCTTCAGCGCCACTCCTTGACATAGACAGCCCTCCCAAACCTCAGAGCTGGTGCAATACGGCTGCTGTCAGGCCTAATGTGATTTCACAACAACGCACCCTCTCAATGCCCCAGCTTATGCCTGACAGTAGGAAAGATAATCTGGAGTCGTACGAGAAACCGGTTAGCCCCATCAATAAAGGATTTGAGGTAAGCGTACTGTGTCTATGGGTGTAAATGTATGCTAGTTTATCAATCAAGCGGCGGTTTATTGCAATGAATCACAAGGTTAAGGTCAAATTCTCTCGACATTGCTTTTACAATGACAGTTCGGGTATTTAAAACAAAATAATTATTTTCCATACCTTTAACTCCAACAAGCTTTCTGGTAATTGTGGTTTGAATGCATGAAATATAAATTGTGCAAAGGCAAAGTTCTTTCCAGTTTCGTACCTTACCATATATAGTAAAATTGACAAATACACCGCGAAGACACCGAACTATCATGCAGAATTTAGCAAATAGTTTTGTTTTTTGGCAACAACAAAATGTATAAGTCATACAAGGTCGCAGGACGTTGCACACAAATACATGTATCTCTAATGAAGCCCCTCCTGGGATCGGAATCAGCAGCACATTTTTCCATTCTTTGTAAAAATCATTGCCTTTCGTTGGGTGTCAAGTCTACTACACTATAAATCCAAGATAATCCTAGGGGAAGTTTAGACTTTAGCACAACCGAAGATTCAGCAAGATTTATGCCTGATAACTGGTTGTTCATACTTTTCATCGTGGTATCGTGGCACTTAGAGATCCGCCGGGTTGTACCTCTACGTTCGACAGTTGACAAGCTTCTACCCCTCAACTCATGGCATCTGATTAATAGACACGTAGCGTATACCACTAGGGCACCGTGCTGGCGCTGCCATACTTACTGGAAAAAGGATCGAGTATATTCTTTACAGAATGAGTGGACTGAAAAACAAAATTGCAATGCACGGTTATTTGCGATTCAGCTATTTTGACTGACATGGGGTGATATGACAAATCTAGAGAAAAGACAGGATGCATAGTTCAAAGGACGTTCGACTGTCGTAGCGTACGGATGTGTCTGTGAGTGCTCTGCAAAACAGCAAATCTTGTAAGTTTTGACACCACCTCATTATTTATTGTTGATCACATCAAAGAGAACGTATTTTGACCTATTTCAAAACAAAATGCCTACTCGCCAAGGACAGGCCGATTTTGAGCAAACTCTCATTGATGCACTTAAGAAGAAGAATGTTGCTGAGTCGATATCAAACATAATCTTACGTACGATAACGTCCACATTGAATGATAAATTCAAATATTATGATGATAAAATTGCTCAATAAAATCTAATAAGAACGAGATACAAGACATAACAACGGAAGAAACGCAAAAAAATGTACAGCAAAAACTTGATAACATTCAGCAGCACATTAAAAATAATAATATTAGGCTCATGCAGGTACCAGAGGCGGAGGGCGAAAATCTGTCTGAGAAGGTGTATCAAATATTTAAAAATAAAATGGAAGTCGTTATAAATAGGTCGGAAATAACAGCAGTATACAGGGTGGGAAGACAGAATGGTAGTAACCCAAGGCACATTCTGGTTTCCTTCAAAGATAACTGTATAAAAATGGCAGCATATAACAAGAAAAAGATGCTGAAAGGTACTAAAATTGTTGTTAAAGAGGACCTAACCATTCAGCGTTTAAAAGCCTTGAAAGCAGCTTCAAAAAAGTTCGGGTTTAGAAATGTTTGGACTGTCAACGGAAATGTGTTCACTAGAACTGATAAGGGCGTGGAGAGAATTCAATCTGACTAAATGTGGCTGTCGTGAATTATTGATTATTTTTTATTTCATTATTCGTATATATACTTACTGTAATGCACGTTAAAATGGGTCATCTGAATCGGCTCAGAGAGCATATTTTACACCATAATTATGGAATTTTTGCAATGTCAGAAACTTGGCTTAATTCTACAGTCGCAAATGGAGCAATTCAGATCCCTGGATATAGTATTGTGAGAGCTGATAGAGGGTTGCTCTTTATATACATGACAGTCTGAAGTTTTCTCTAATAAATACATCTTCTAATATCGAACAGTTATGGGTAATGTTGCAATTTAATGATGTTTCATACGCTGTCGGAGTTGTATACCGTCCTCCTCATTATAACTGTAGGAATTTTGTAGACGAGCTAGAAGAATCATTATCTCTGGTCGCCATTCAGACCGATAAAGTGATATGTGTTGGAGTTGTGAATATAAATTTCTTGGATACCTAACCTGCTTCTACAAGATATATGCTAGATATGTTAAGTACCGTTAATTTTCATCAAATTTTGAGTGAACCAACTCACATCACTCAAATATCCAGCTCATTAATTGATGTTATTATACGCAATGATCTCTCAATAATACACACGTCTAATATCGGTGGGCTGGATTTGACCAATCACGAATTAATTTCATGTCAGGCATACAAGTCGGAGCCTAAAACTGAACCATTCTACTGTACTTATCGTAGTTTTAAGCATTTTAATAAGCATGAGTTCTACAGTGACCTAAAAAAGCTCCCTCTGATAGATATTTGCTATGCTTCTGGCTTCGATGAAACAATGCTTTTGTTCAACAACATGATCCTTCAGCTACTTGAAAAACACATGCCTCTTAAAACATCTAAAATTAGAAAAATAAGGCACCTTGGCTTATCAATAACATAAGGAAACTAATAAGAGATAGAGACAAAGCTAGAAGCTAGGTCAAAATTCCGGAAGAATCCTTCTGCGCAGAATGGTGTGGCTTACAAACAGCTCAAAAACAAAACTAATCATACCATATTACATGAAAAAAAGAAATATTTCTCACAATTGGCTCAGAATAGAAACAGTAAAGTACTATGGAAAGAACTAAGATCATTAGATATAAAATCAAATAATCCTGGTATACCCTCACAGCTGCAAAGTGCTGATAATATCAACGACATCTTCTTAGACAATATTCCACAACAAATCAATAGTAATGAGGATTTAGTTACGCACTATAACAATAATGTCATATGCTATGATAAATTTGATTTTTCCTTGGTCTCCGAGGAACAAATTCTGCAAACCCTCTGTCGTAGAAAAAATACCTCGCCAGGAAGTGACGGAATTTCAGTCCGTTTACTTAAAATGTGTATTCCAATCATATTGCCTTTTCTCGTCCACATTACTAATAGCATTCTTTTAGACGGAAAATATCCCACCGCCTGGAAAACAGCTCTAATAACTCCAATCCCTAAGGGTAAAGATGTCAAACAACTTGCAGATCTTCGCCCTATCAGTATCTTACCTGGCCTTTCAAAGTTAGTTGAAAAAATAATAGAATTACAGCTACGTGACCACATAACCAGAAACAAAATTTTACCTAGTACTCAGTCAGGTTTTCGTCAAGATTATAGCTGTACTACAGCTTTGGCACACATTACAGATGATATTATAACAGCTAATGACAACAGTAACTGTACTGCACTAGTTTTGTTAGATTATAGCAAAGCATTTGATACTATAAATCATGACGTTCTGATTGCAATACTTGAATCATGTGGGGTATCAGGTCATAATAAATCGTTATTCGAATCTTACCTTAGCGATAGAATGCAACGTGTGAAGATCAATAATAATCTCTCGCGAGTAAGGTCAATAAATCAAGGGGTGCCGCAGGGTTCGATACACGGACCGCTGTTATTCACGCTATATACTAGTCAGCTCTCTAAATCCCTTGAATACTGTAAGCCTCACATGTATGCAGATGATACTCAAGTGTGCCTTTCATTCCATGGTGATGATTGGCCAATGGCGGAGTTTAAAATTAATGCTGATCTTGACGCGCTATTTAAAGCTTCTAGTGATCATTCAATGTCACTGAATCAGAAAAAATCAGCAGCAATAATTTTTGGGAAAGATCGCTCAGAGATAATGAACAATATGATGCTACATATAGATAATGTTCTAATACCGTTCTGCGATTCTGTTAAAAATTTGGGTCTCATAATAGATTTTAAGCTCAGATTTAAAGATCATATTTCAAAATGTATACAAAGAGCGTACTATGCACTCAAGCTGCTTTACCCTCATAGACACTTTCTTAGCAGAGACATCAAACGAATACTGTGTGAAACGTTGGTTTTGTTCTAGTTTTCGTATGGTGCTCCTGTCTATTATCCATCCTTGGATGCTGATACGATATCTAGAATTCAGCGTGTTCAAAATTCATGTATAAGGTACATTTTCGGTATAAGGAAATATGACAGAGTTAGTCATAAGCTGAAGGATTTACAGTGGTTGAACATGAAATAGTGTTCACAACTATTAACACTATGTTTCTACAATAATATTTTGTCGAGCAAGTTACCGCCATATTTGTATGAAAAAGTCATGTTTAGAGAAAATCTTCATTCTGTCAATGTTCGTTCGAAACAGAATATTTCTGCTCCATTCCATCGAACATGTTTTTTCGATTGTGGCTTCTCTTACAACATCTATAAATTATACAACTCGATCCCCCAGCAAATCAAAAATATGAAAGGTTGCAAATTCAAGGCAGCTCTGAGACGATTCCTTTTAGATAAGTATAATAATTAATTTCACTGATCATACTGTAACACTTAGCTTTTTGGATGAATCTCATGATTATATGATGGAATATTTTCAGTTTTATATTTTCACTGTTATTTGTTTTTTGTGCTCATGCTTTTTTTCTGCTCTCATATAGTTAGTAGTAGTCATGTAACAGTTGATATCACTATTTTAAAATAGAGCAAGGGATGAGTGGAAAAGCACGCAGGTCGTGGACTCCCCCTTGAGATTCGAGAGCAATTATTCCTTTTTGTTTGAACACTATTTTTGTATGTTTTTTTTTCTCGAATAAAGTCATTTATTATTATTATTATTATTATTATTATTATTATTATTATTGTTACAATCAAATACAGCACGTCTCAGTATGGAAAATCAGTGGAATGTAAACAAAAAATGGATCATGAATATAAATCGATCCTGATACGACTGCAAAAGTCGAATCAGTTCATATATTCTTCTCCTATGTTGAAAAAGGATCGTTTATCAAATCTGACAGATTCACGACTTGGTACTATCACAAGACTCGAGACCTATGGACGGTTCTGACGACAAGCCAATCCATAAAAATAGTTCGCGAATAGAATTTGAAAACAGGTTTGTATAAAACGAACAGCGGATGAATAAACAAATTGGCGAAGGGACGAAGCGGGAATGTAGGAAACAAACCTAAGCTTATCTTCTGTATATCTTGCATTTCAGGTCTCCAACGTAAACAAGCCTTCACTCTACGGTCCCCCAAAACCCCCTCGGTCCGCGATAGGTCTTGATCGACCAGGCCTAGGTCTGGATCGACCCTCGATCGGTCTAGACCGACCTCCAATGGGACTTGATCGAGGACTGGATCGGCCTCCAATGGGTTTGGAACGTCCCCCACTTGGACCAGATCGTCCAACTAACATCGACAGAGCTGAAATTCGCACGGCTCTACAAAATTGGCAGATGGGACTGCAGGAGAAAAGTAATGACAAGTTGAAGGCGCAACAACAACAGCAACAGTTTGCGGGGGCTCTGTTGAGAAGTAGTAGGAGTTTAGGGGATGGCAAACCTGCAGTACAGCCAGAATCCGTACAGGTTAGTATTCATTATCGACCTTTATTTACTTGTATCCCAAACTATTGTAGCCAAGAAGCTTATTTTACTCCAACAATCTTCCAATATAGTCGTCTTGAACTATGTATTAATTCGTAAAGTTTCGTTGCTGTACTGAATGAAAATACCAGTCCAAAAGATTTTTATCTACCGATATCTAATGTCTTGAAGTCAAAAAGAGCATGAATAAAAGTGTTATTCCAGAGCTCTTACCGCAAGAGGTTAGCTTTTGTTCTAATGGGAACATCTAAACAGGAGATATTTTTGTTGCAATGTTTAGCTATAACTACGACAACTATACCTCAGCATCTCGGTTATGGTTTGGCAATACTGTCCGCAAAGTTTAGACACACACAGGTTTCAGAATTTCTCAGCATAAGTGCTACAAAATCCTGCAAGAATTTGTACGCGTCACTTAGTACTACCATATTAAGTAGGATTTAGATAGTTCAGCAATCTGTAAGCAATATATGAAAATATAGCTGGGCCATACCAAAACTACTGCTATATGGCTATTGTAATGCAATGAAATTGACCATTTAGAAGTATCATAAGTTCATCTCTCTTTCATTACCTTCTTTTCTTAAACGCTGCACCGTTCACTTCAAACTCCGACAGAATGTTCAGTCTTTACTGGAATAGGTATTTTATTGATGTACATCCATACCAGAACATATCAGTCATTTCTATGGATTTGACTTTCTGTAACACAAGACTAAAATAACAGTCAAAAAATATACGTATTGATGATGATAATCTGTCTAATGGTAGTGATACAAGCATTTAAAATAATAATTTCGGTTTTTGAAAAATAAAAGTAGTTCAAAGCTCATTTTTGGCCATTCTGCCGGGGCTGATTACACAGGCCCACAAAATGGTGTGTGCTTGGGATACTTTTCCCATGTACTTTTTCACGCTGAGGTCAAATTTGGGGATCGGTGGATACATAAGAATATAATACAGGCATTAAAAGCAGCACATTTTGCATTTTTGACGAATGTGTAACTCTTCGGAGGTCTCTTAAAATACCAAGAATTTTAATTCTTTCATGTTTTTTTTTTATATCGAAACAGCCGCGCAGGCAGAAGCCCAAATGCCGGAACACCGCGGCTGCTATGATGATCCCAAAGAAATTTTGTTAATACGATTTTTGAACTGCCTAAGGTTAGTAGAACTGGGAAAAGCCTCCTCCCGTAGATTGTTCCACAATCTAGACACCCTCGGGACAAAGGAGCGGTCGTATCGGCCAGTTCTGGATGTACGAAGTTTGACACGGTTAGGATGGGACGCCGAGGTCAGGCGGGTCTGTCTGGCAGGCACATCGCGCGGCGGCATCATGGAAGAGAGCTCTGAGGAGCAAAGTCCGTTGGTATAGCGATAGAAAAGAGCTAGATCGCCGACGGCCCGCCGGTGCGAAAGAGTCCCGAGACTGTCTGTTAGGGAAGAGTCATCGATCAGTCGGACCGCCCTCCTCTGGACAGCATCGAGCATGGACAATGTAGTCGGGGCGGCAGCACCCCAAATGTGTGAGCAATACTCGAGGCTAGGCCTTATCTGGGCCTTGTATAGAGTGAGAAGGTCATGCGGAGAAAAGTACCTCTTAGCCCTAAACAAATAGCCTAGCTTTTTCCCAGCAGCTGCAGCTATTGAAGAGATGTGTTCGTGCCAGATCAGGTCCTCGGTGATCTGGACTCCGACCAGCCGAAATGAATGGCTCTTTGGTAGAACTCGACCGTCCATCGAAACTGTATGAGCGCTAGGACGCTTTTTGTTCGTCAAAGTACAGTACTGTTTTTTGGAAGCATTGAACTGTACAAGATTGTTGCGTCCCCAAGCAGTGATAGCCTCCAGGTCTCTTGTCAGAGAAGAAGTCGTCGCTAGTCTTCTTTTTTCCAGCTCAGCGGCAGAGATCGGCTTATCACTCTGAATTCCTGCATGTAGAGTGCTGTCATCAGCGAAGCTGTGGATTGCGTTGATCATGCAGGAAAGGAGGTCGTTGATATGTAAGAGAAACAGTGTTGGAGCCAAGACCGATCCCTGGGGAACACCCGCGTTGACGTTGTGGGATGAAGAGGAGAATCCGTCAATTACGACGGATATCTTGCGGCCAGAGATAAAGTCAGCCACCCATCTGCAAAGCTTTTCTGGGAGGCCGTAGGATGGAAGTTTGCTTAAGAGGGAAGCGTGCCACAGCTGATCGAACGCTTTCGTGATGTCAAGAGCAACGACATGAGCCTCACCATTAGACTGGATGAGTTTACTCCACAGTTGCGTGACGTAAGCTAGGAGGTCCCCTGTGGATCGTTGGTGCCGGAAACCGTACTGCCTGTCGCTAATCAAGCTGTGACGTTCGAGGTAGTCCAGAAGCTCGCGATTTATGCACCTCTCCATCACTTTACTTATAACAGAAAGCAGAGCTATAGGCCTGTAGTTGTAAGGGTCGGTTTTAGATCCTTTTTTTGGGATGGGCTGTACATGAGCAAATTTCCAGTTTTCTGGGAAGGTGCCGGATTCATAAGATATCTGGAAGAGACGCGAAAGAACTGGAGCAAGCTCCGCTGCACACCTCTTCAGTACAATGGCAGGAATCAAGTCCGGACCAGAAGCTTTGTTGATGTCGAGCGACAAGAGCACTCGTCTTACGGTCTTATGCCTGAATGTTACCTCCCGCATAGTGTGGGGAACCCTTTGAATTGACGGCACTTGGGAGTTGGTGGGGACGTCCATGGTGGAGTTGGCAGCAAAGATCTTGGCTAGCACTTCCGCCTTGGCCTTTGAGTCGAATACAATAGTTCCATCCTGACACGTAAGTGGTGGAAGGCTACTGTGTGAGAAGTTCTTTTCAATCTGCTTGGCCAGCGTCCAGAAAGACCGACTGCCATTGCGCTGCGACATTAACCTGTGCCTAACTTTTATATCATGCTGGTTTTTGGCATTGCGAACCGCTTCGTTATATTTGTTTCTGGACTCGACGTCGGCTTGTCTGTTCTCTACAGTGGGGTTTTGTAAGTAGGTTATGTGGGCCTTGATCTTCTGCTGGCGAGCAGTGTCACACGATTTGTTGAACCAGCCGTTGGACCCTGGTTTAGGAACTTTCACTGTGTGAGGGATGTATTCCTCCATTCCGACGTGGATAATTTCGGTTATTGAAGAACAGACAGTCGACGCATCCGCGTCAGTGAAACAGACATCTCTCCAAGGAAAGCTAGAGAAGAAGTCTCTGAGCCCCTCCCAGTCGGCATGTCCGTAATGCCAAGTTTTGCGGCCTGTGCGAGTTTCTGCTGCCACAGCGGCTTCTGACCGAAACCTAACCTCCACAACACCGTGATCTGAGTTACCCAGGGGGGACAGGACAGCAGTGCTGTAAGGGGCAGGATGCGTGGTCAGAAAGAGATCCAGCAGGCTACTGGCGTGTGACGAGACGCGGGGGAAAAAAGTAGGGCTCGTCACTAGCTGGGTCAGCCCTTGAGTAAGAGCGAACGCTTCGACTGCACGACCTGCTGCATCGGTCTTATTTGAGCCCAACCAAAGCTCATTATGTGTCTATCTTTCCCTTATTTTGTCTTCAGATTCGTGTTCAAAAAGAAAAAGACATGGAAAAAAATAAAGTGAGCCCCCAGCAGACACCACTTCACTTTTTTATGGATCGTTTTTATGCGTTTACTCTAAAATTTGTCTACCGCCCTCCCAATTTTGACTTTAGATTCGTATTCAGCGTAAAAAAGTACATGAGAAAATCATATTCGAACCCAAGCAGACACCACTTTCTTTATTCTGTGGGCCTGTGCTATTTTTAAAAAGAAAGCAAAAATTTTATGATGTACGGAACGTGACATTTTTTGAGGAAAATCCTCTGTAGATCAAAAATTCGCTTTTTTTCTTCCACAACATTGAATCAAGTGAAGAAATTGGGACAATTTACCGAGAGACATTTGCAAGATTGTATAATGAATAGGTCTTTAGTCTAGACCAGTCTAACTCATTCAACAGTCGCAGGTATCTTGATAGGCTTCACATTACTAGCTATTAACGTGAAAAAAATAACTATTTGCAATCACGTTTTGTTATTATCCACAAAGCATACTATATAATGTCGTGAAGCAAGATCTCTCTATCAAGTAACCGCATCAACCACGATTTAATTTTTTACATGAAAATAATAAACAATAACCATGCATTGCCGCATAGTCATGCAAAAATACCGTTGAAGGAGCGCTGCTTTGTCTACATATCTGCATAAGTAGTACAATTGTGTCATTGCCAATAGTTCCAGTACAATGAACCATATGGGTTGCAACACTTCACCGAATCTCACTTCAAACCACATCAAATCTTGAGTAGTATATAAATGCATGTATGTACGTCTCATTAAAGCGCTCTAACTGCTAAGTAGCGTGTAAATAAAACCGTAAAGGTTGTTTTGGAAAGCTTGATGTTGGAACGTGACTGAGAAGTTGACTAGAACAAGTTTTACCAGATAGATTAAATAGCGCATAAAAACCTCTAAGATGTGATTAAGGTGCCATCCTGGGCATCATCCATCTATTCAATTGTAGAAAGTCAATATCAATCTTATGAGATTTCATGGTCCTTATTTAGTTGGAATGCCAAAATCCTGTATAAACTGTTAAAGTCAAATAGAAACAAATTAGCCCTTACAAAAAATGTTGAGGAATCTTTCAAATAAAAATGGATTTAAGAACAACTATAATTACGCCGCCGCTGTGCAGCTCAATGGCAATAGTTGGCAGAAAAAGTTGGTATCAAGCAGTTTGACCATGTATGTACTTCTCGATAAAATTCTCACAGGTGCAAATTGAAGTCCATAGATGCATATCACTATTAAAATATACAGGGTGAGTTTTTAGCCTGGCTTGGTCGACAGTGCCGTCACGCGTAATAACGCATGATATCTAAAAAATTTCAACACAAAAATTGTATCCTGCTTCTGAGTGAAATATATACAGGGTATTCCTTAATGATATGCGAATATTTAAGGGTGTGAATCTACATGAAAAATTAATGTTAGTTTGCTTTATAAACTATGGTCCAAAAATGTTTCCTTACAAAACTTCGGGGTGTTGAAGTTTTAGGAAAAAATGGAAATTAATATTTTCAGAACCGTTTCAGATATTTGACTGATATTTGGTACAAAGTTAAAGTTAACAAAGTTGCATATTTTTCAATGCAAAAATAATTTTTAGCTTTAACAGTGGCGTGTGCACGGATATTGACTTCGATATTTTTAAGAAAAAGATGGTACGCCAATGATTTTTTGCCAAATAAAAACTAGTTTTGAATTCCCCGTTCAATTTAAATTAAATAAATAATCTTGAATTGTTTTTCTTCGATGCGCCATTTTTGAGTAAAAAAATAAAAATCGTTCTATTGTCTAAGAGCCGTTTTACACACAAGAGAATTACTCCGAAAATTATGGTCATAATTATTCCGAAAATTTTTGCTGTCGTATTACACGTAAAAGAATTCTTATGAAAATTTTCATGGTAAAAATATAAAACCCGTTCTATAGAATATGCGCGAGAATCGGCGCAGAGGGTTTTTCCGTGCATGTCAATATCAAATGTCAACGTCAACAACATAACCTCACTTAACATTTGTGGGTGTGGTCCTGTTCGAGTCGTACGAACGAGCGTTTATTGTTATTGTTTATTCATAATGTCGTGGAATCGGGAAGAAGCGAAGAAGTTACACTGTTGTTGAAGGAGTACCAAAAATGGCCAAACCTGTACAAGGTGAAGTCACCCAATTACAAAGACAGAAATTTGCGGCGTCAGGCGCTGGATGCGATAGTCCAAGCATTGAGAAGTTTTATAATATTAACCAAGATCTCGATTTCAAAAATAAATTTAAATCAACGATGTCTGTTGTCTTTCCGATTATATTGGACGTCATACCCGTTAAGGTTATGTCCATTCGAAAGTATTACTCTAATGCGCAGGCGTATCATATGAATTACTCCGAAATTTTGTTTGCTTGTGTCATACAGGTTGTAGAGAAAATGTTCAATATTTTTTCCACTCAAATTTTCGGCATAATTATGACCATAATTTTCGGAGTAATTCTCTTGTGTGTAAAACGGCTCTAACTTGCAAAATTATTATTAATTTAATTGGAAAAATTAAATACATTAGGGGTAACTGACAACATAAACATAACATTAAAACCAACGAAATTATTACAAAAATTGTTGAAAATGGCCCCCTTCACTTAGCATGCATGCTTCCGCCCTCCTTCTCATGGAATTGCACACTCGTGGAAATATCCCTGGAGTGTTTTTTATTCTATCTCAAACTGCAACTATTCCTTCTCTTGGGACTTGTGTACAGTAGTGTCTTAACATATCCCCACAAAAAGAAATCTAAGCTGTTGAGGGCTGGGGACCTTGGTGGCCATTTTTGGGGCCACCGCAGCCAATCCAACGATTTGGATAAACAGTTTGCGCTGGTGCACCATCATGCATGTACCACATATTGTTTCTTATTACTAACGGAACATCATCAATCAGCAGAGGCAACTGTTGTTGAAGAAAATTGAGGTAAGTCTGTCCGTCAAGTTGTCCCGGCAAGAATAATAATAATAATAATAATAGACGTCTTTATTTATCCACAATTACATTGTAGTATAGCCAAATGTCAGACTTACATGGCGAAGTTTAGCATGCTGCTACTCTTACACTTAACCATATAGTCTCTAGCAGATGTTCAAAAGAATACACTATCCACAAACAGATTTGGTTCATTACATCGAAAGTAAAATTTAAAAAAAAGAGAAAAGGGCATACTTTCCAAACCCAAGTACACCAAAAAATTATTAATCTGAATTAAAGATGGAATAAAAAAGAAATGAATGATTACGTAAATTATATGTTTGGAGGGTTGAGTAATAATGTTTTAACTTTTTGTTGAAAGACAGGTAATGAAAATTCTTTACATACTTTAGGAAGGTCATTATAAATAATAGAAACATTGTAAGAAAAACTGCGTTTAAAAAGTGTAGACGTATGCAGGGGTATTCTAATATTATTTTCTCTGAGAGTTCTACAGTGAACATCATTATTAAATAAAATTTGTTCCCTCAAGTAATAAGGTTTAGACGTGAGCAGCAATTTGTGAACAAAAACTGAATAATGATACTTGACCGTCATTAATTATTAACCAGTTTAGAACGGGATATTTCGCTGATACATGATCAAATTTATGTAAGCCAAAGCTGAAACGGATACAATTGTTTTGAATAACTTGAATAACGTTTTTAGTGAAATTGTCTAAACAAGTATAGTATACGATATTACAATAATTTAGTATAGATATGACCAATGCTTCACATAGTTTTTTACGCAACTTAAAATTTAGTAAATACCTGTTTGCTATAAGAGTACACAGCCGTAGGTAGGTTTTCTGGGATAGACTCTTAACGTGTTCAATAAACCTTAATTTTGTATCAAAAACAACACCAAGAATTTTTGCAGAATCAGAAAATTGCAAGATTTGGTTATTTATCTGAATGTTCAAGAGCTGTGTTACATTGGATGTTTTTCTTTGTGCGCAAAAGAATAACTTTTTAGATTTTTGTGGATTAATAGGTAGATTGTGGTCTAAAGAGTATTTAATTAATTTATTAACATCGTTTTGTAAAATTTGAGTAGTATTATTGACATTATCTGGGTTAAAATAATGGAGCAATTGCGTATCGTCTGCAAATGACTGGACATGAGAATTATCAATACTTTTGCTTAAGTCGAACGTATATATGAGGAACAGAAGCGGCCCCCATACAGAGCCCTAAGGTACGCCTGAGGGAATTATTGTCACTTGCGACATTTATTGATTGAGAAAAACACACTGCGTTCTTTGATGAAGGTAACTGTCGAAAAATGAAAGGGATACACTGTCAAGACCTATGTAATTTAATTTAGCAAGTAATAATTTATGATTTATGCTGTCAAGGGCTTTCGAATAGTCTATAGAGATTAAGGCTAGTGCCATTTTCTTATCTATGGCACTTAAAATATTGTCTTGCAGATTAAGTGGGGCAGATGTTGTACTATAATTTTTTCTAAAACCGCATTGAGTGGGCCAATAAAGTGGTTGCCAATAATTCCTGCCCATACGTTAACCGAAAATTGGTGTTGGAAATGGGCTTCGGCATAGGGATTTTCTTCTGCCCACAAATTATTATTGTGTAAATTCTGAATGGCATTTCGAGAAAAACTAACTTCGTCCGTGGACGGAATTGCGGATTTTGTGTAATTTTTTGAAGAAACTACTGACAAAAGGTCACACGCCTTGGAAAATCAACGGGAAGTAATGCCTGTACTCTTAAAATATGGTAAGGATATAACAAAAAATCCACTAAAATTCTCCAAACAATTTGATGGCAAATATTTTAGTATCTAGCGATCTTCCTCGTACTCGTTTCAGGATGTTCTTCGACTTCGTGCAGCACTGCTTCCTCAATTTCAGGTGTTTTCACACTTAGACCTTCCGATGTTCCTTTTCGGACAGAACCAGTTTCAACAAGGCAACGATGAATATTAGAAAAGGTTCGACTATCTGGCAAAGCACGATCGTGATATTTCTGGTGATAAATCCGTCTGGCTTGCTCACTATTATCGTCGGCAAGGCCATATACGTAATGCATTTTCGCCACTTCTACATAATTCACCATTATTAACAAGATTGTAAAAACTAAATAATGAAAAAGATGTCACAGCGAACAGATTTGAATAACAGAAACTTGTCAGATGTCAAAAGCCAGTGACATATTACAGAGCAACTAGATATTTATTGCTAAATTGCATTCTTCAATTATTACATTAATTTTCTCGGACAATAGAACGGTTTTTATTTTTTACTCAAATATGGCGCATCGGAGGAAAACGATTCAAAAGAGATCTTTTGTTTCAAATTGAACGGCGAATTCAATTTTTATTTGGCAAAACACCATTAGCGTACCATTTTCATATAGATTCACATTCGCATATCATTAAGAAACATCCTGTATACAAGGCATATTCATGGAAAATAAAATGCAATAAACACAGAAATTTCCAATAGTTTAATAATGCATCAAGAATGCCTGTTATTGAAGGATCTTACATTATATTAACGTTCGGAAAAATAGGAGTAACCTGTGGTAACACTTACATTTACTTACAATTTTTTATGTGTATTCATGAGATTCTGTGTTACTGCAGGTGCCGCCAGTCCCCGTGCAAGCTTCTCAAGTGTACCCTCAAAAGAAGCCCAATGTGAGGCGGAGAGAACCAAGGAGGCACACTCTACAGAACGGCATCGACTACAACATGTTGAAGAGGATGAAGCAGATTGAGCAGGAGAAAGAGGTCCTTATGCAAGGGCTGAACGCTGTAGAAAAAGCCAGGGATTGGTACTTGAAGCAGGTAGCAATAGTACAGGAAAAAATGAAGTATTTGGGCAGAATGGGACATTTGGTAAGTTACTCAAACTTCATAGTGTCGAGCTCAGTTTCTACCTTCTTGGTTTTTGATCGCGTACAGTCGTAGATGAAACATATGATTTTCCAGGCATCCCACTCAAACTCAATATCTGTGCAATACTTCAAGCTTTTTATTAACTTCATATGCAAACATAATGGTGCTATAAGGTTTAACTAGTGTAGATGTCTATCTGTTTTGGCATCGTAGCTCCCAAACAGATAGGAACCCAATTTAATTTTTTCTTTCTCCTGTTTTAAAGATAGTTTGAGGACAGCGTAGCCATATGATTCGAGAAAACGTCCACATTACCTCTGAGTGAAGAGCAAAAAGGTTTTGCAAGCTTAGTGCGTTTAAAATGTTCCTATTATGGAGCCTGGAGGGGATTTTATACCTTTTATTAAAACCAGGCAATGGCTAAAAAGATGTGCTACGAACATTGAAACAGTAACAGTCATTTTAGTAGATTACAAAAAACATCAGACTATCGCTTGTATATAACACGTAGAAAGTTACAGAGCATCCAATAAAAATGCTTCATTGCGGTCAAAAAGTAAATCAAAAAACAAAAAGAAAATGTGAATTTAGATATCAAAACTCATTTTGGGTTTAACATTTTGAGACATTGTGCTAGATTGTTCTACAAATAATAAAGCCATACAATATTTCATTTAAAGAAACTACTCAAAAATTGTAGATGCAGAACTCCATGCTCCGTGCTCAAAAAATACGTAATAGCAAAAATTTGGACACGGTTGCATAGTACCAGACAATCTAAATCAGATCAATATCATATAACTATTATGAAAAACACTCAGTCAGTCCTTACAAATGCGGTTTTTTACAATACTGTTGATTTATGGTTTTAATTAGAAAAATTAGGTAACGAAAATATAAATTATCATGATTTTGGAGCTTCCAGTTTCTCATAAGATAATTATCTTCCATTTTTTTTTTGACGCAGCAGTGTAATATCAAAAAACTATAGAGCTAATCTTCTTCTTTAATGAATGCGATTAAAAAATAAGCTAGAGGCGCCATCAAAGAGAAAGTGTTACCTATCTAAAGTTTTTACGTGATACGGAGGATGAAAGTATCGCATTATTTGTTTAATGAATGAATGATGTGTAAACAATGTATCTGACTTTCTATAGAAGTAGAAGCGTGTTCGGCAGGAAGGAAATGCGACTGCATGAAAACCATTTTACAGTTGGAAAATGACAGCGCCGCATCTAGGATTTTTGATTTGATTCTCATAGTACCATATCTTCATTGGATGTTGGTTATCACTGAAGCCCATTTAACCTTATGAGTCGTGTGCACGTGACGTCAAATCTCGGAATATAAGGGTAAGTTCAAATGACTCGCTTGCTTTTGAAATACAGTAGGCATCGATGCGCGTATTAAGGACCATATCGTCAGTCGTTCCCATAATCGTAGGAGGCCTTCATGGTTTACTTGATTTTCATTGTTTTCTACTACTCCGTGTCAGCGCTCTATTTTGAGGTTATGTTACAAATATCTATTTGCATCAAATTGTTCATGCTTTTTATTTATATCATCTCTTATATCAGCCTACGATTCAAAAAGAAAACATAGCCTCACAACAGGAGAGCGCTGGCTCGGAACAGCAGAAATCTAGAAAAACCCCTCTGAAGGAGAGAGAGAAGGAGGCCATGAAGGTGTCCCACAAATGTAGGAACGAGTGACGATATGGCACGTGTCTAGTGGCTTTGTTCGCGCAAGCAGCTTCTGACGAGTGGATCCATGACAAACGGCAAGTATTAATTCTTTCTGTTTCAAAAGCGATCGTTAGGTAAACCCGCGTTATCTTCCAAGTTTTTACGTCCGTGCACGCGATGGATTGACGGTTGCTCTTGATAATTCGGCTGATATTTTCCGATACATTTTTGCCGTTTCTTCCCTTACATAGAAAAGCATCGATCTTCACCCAGAAACGGCCGAGAAAGTAGTCAATAGCATATAGAATTAGCTAAAAAGCTAAAACATTAGTTAAGATTTATTTTAGAGCAGTGAACATCTCAGAACAAATGCATTTTCCACGAAACCTATACAGGGTGTTTCACAAATTATCCGACACAATTTAAAGACATATGCACTGTTACGAAAGAAGTTGATTCCAAAAACAAAAAAAAAATGTAATAAAAGTCCTATACAAATCGAGATAATAAAATGGTACAGTTTAACAGTTCACTTACTTATAAAAGCTGTTCAAAATTGTTTCCAAGCTTGGACGCGTCTAATCCAATTTCGGCGCACTAATTCAAATACACCTCCTTCCTGCTGTGCCTGAAGGCTCAAATTATCGGCAGCCACTGTGATTCGGTCATGAAATTCTTCAATATTCTGAACCAGTATACCTCGTTTCTCAAGTATTCTCAAAAAAGGAGTCCAAAGGCTTTAGATCGGGAGATCTTGGAGGCCGCGCAATTGTCCCACCTTTTCTGATCCAGCGTATCTGGTATACCTGTTTCAAAAAAACATGAACTTCTAAACGAAAATGCGGAGGTGCCCCATGGTGCAGAAACCACATCCGTGCTCGGACCGCCAATGGCCCATCTTCAAGAAGTACCAGCAAATCATTCCGAAGAAATTCCAAATACTGGTGACCATCCATCCGATCTGGCAATATGAATGGTCCAATTAGACGTTCATCGACAATACCTGTCCACTCGTTTAAAGAAGAACAATGTCGGAAGTGTGTCTGGACCACTGCGTGAGGGTTCTCAATGAACCAAACGTGTGTATTATGAGTGCCCATTACGAGTAAAAATAGCTTCATCGGTGATATGGTTTGTGCCTATTCGGAAATCGGTGTGCATACAAACGAGAAGCCGCTCGCGAGTTTTGCCCTGCTCCTCCGTTCGCTAAAACGATGTCCACTAACTCCCCATTAATGTACACATGTGCCATTTTTATTAATATATAACTAAAAACGTAAGGTCGCAAAATACTTTCTTATTTAACTTCACAAAAATCGACCATTCTTCATTCAGATCACCCACGCTACAGATTAAACCTTATTTACACGTTCTTATCAGTATGAAAAACCAAAAATTGCTGGTATTTTGTTTTTGTTAGCTGTTTGGCACAACATTTGCTACAATAAATTATTAATGCGTGTTCTAATATCCCTTCTAATTTCTGTAGGACTTTTATTGTTTTTTTTTAAATCAACTTCTTTCGTAATAGTGCATTAGTGGTCAAAATTTGTCTGATAAGTTGTGAAACAGCCTGTATAATTTACAGCTGCTTGGATTTGTGACTGAGCTGTTAGAAGCTGGAACGATTGATATCACATTCTTTTCTGAAACACATTATGCCCCTTCATAACTTTCTACTAAGCTACTGTAACGCCCCCGTAACTGCTTCAGTAACCATGAAATGCCCTCGCAATATCGACGCTTAGGCAGCATGATTTGGAATTCGCCAATCCAAAAATAACTAACCAGACGCCTCCCCTAGAGGGACAAGCAAGATAGGTTTTGGATCCACTTGTACTTATAAACCTTGTTCTTTTTCTTTTGCTTCGAAGATGGGTCTGTAACTGCTTATTATAAGCATACTTATATTAAAAGAAAACGCCCAAACAACATCTAATTTCTTTATAATAGGTAACAACAGAAACTAGTATTAGCATTGATCGTGCTGTGCTTCATATATTATGTACATATATAAAAGGATTAACACGGCAATATTTTTCAACCTACTTTGCTTATGCCTGCTTCAAATAATCTAGGATGTCATTTGCTAAACAATATGTTAACTCCGGACCTGTGTTATGATCAGCAGAGTGGATAATTAAATAGTATTCGTTTCGGGTAGTTTGATTGGATAGATAGTTAGGAATCACTAAAGCGCGTTAAATCACAAACGTGAAACGAATTGTCTATCTTTCTGTATATGTGAAGTGTAACTGGTGAACTGAATGGTGAGGTGAGGGCGACTCAATTTTCAAGAACCACCGTTTCTTCAATATGCCAAGTTTGTTACTGATTAAAAAAATGAAAAACAGCTATAAGTATGTTTAAAAGGCAGAGTTTACTTTGTGATGCTAAGGATGCTTACACGTTCATAAACTGAACTTGAAAACTATTATCAAAAATCCTGAAGAGTTCATTATTCAGCCAGGATACCGAGTATATTTAAAATGATAGTGGACGATAGATTTAGGTAACTGAAATGGGCCCAGATTGCAGAACGAAAACCAAAAACTTGTGTATCTAATGAAATTTCAACCAAACCAATTTTACGAGAAAGACGAACACATTCAAACAAATATCTAGGTATGAAGGCTTACTTGCAAATATCTAAATAATAATAATGAAAACTGCAGAACTGCGCAATAACTTTTTCCACTAGTAAAACACATAATCGTGGACGAACCAGCTACATGTAACAGGTAACAGGTTTAGTGCACTTTCCAAGCCTGAGCGCGGCAGTAACTCGCTGCGTGTGCCGTTCAGGTCGTTCAAATTAGCCCACTGCTGTTAAGCTTGAATTTCACAACAAAAGGACATAAAAAATGCAATATTTGATCTTGGTAGCTACCATTTCTTGATTTGTTACGCATTGATCAAAGTAAAATCGCGGAATTGTCACATTTACACGAAAATATGCAATTTGAATTACGCCAGGTGAGGGCGAACCAGGAACCACTAAAAACGTGTTTCTTCATTATTTATACAAATTTGTATTGCTTGTGAAAATGTGTTATACTGTGTACTTAGCAATACAAAGAATATTTGTATATTTTTATACCAGTTACATATACTGATATTTGTAAATGTACCTTTTGTTGATTTTCTTAAGATTTTTGCTGCGAGAAGTGTGTCTCCTATATTCATCCCTGAAATGATTTTGGCTTTCATTCATTACTTGCAAGGATCTCGAAATAATGGTTTAGATTGTACGATGACAAAAATTCCAAACATGCCGGAAACACTACAGATAGTGAGCCAAAACTGAATGAATGT